TGTGTCACTCTACATATATATATATCTACACACACATGTATATATATACATATAAAGTCGTGTCCACTTAAGAAATGCATATAACTTCATTATTAAACAAGCTTCATCTAATATTTTTTTCATTTGGAAGAGGGAGAGATAAAGTTTTTTTTGTCTAATACAAAGTTCATGAACACCCTTTAAAGGCTACCACTTCTAACTGCAACATAAAAATATAGCATTTTTTCAATGTCAAAAAAAGGTGTGCAATGCTTTTCCTATATTTAATTAAACTTCTATCGTTATTATGTACTTTAAATCATAATCATCTGGGAAATGCATTGCACACCTTTTTTTGACATTGAAAAAATGCTATTTTTTTTATGTTGCAGTTAGAAGTGGTAGCCTTTAAAGGGTGTTTATGAACTTTGTATTAGACAAAAAAAAACTTTATGTTTCCCTGTTCTAAATGAAAAAAAATATTAGATGAAGCTTGTTCAATAATGGATTTATACGCATTTCTTAAGTGGACACGACTTTGAGGACACCCTATATATATATATAAATTCGTGTGTATGCTCTTGATCTATGCTCTTGTTTCTTGTCTCTCTGTTGTCTTTCCCTATATCTGTCTGACTAGTGCTTTTCCAATGGAACCGAATTCACGTTCATCCAAACATACAGGTTAAATCAGAACTGCCAGATCTTTTGAAAAACCAGGCAAGTTTCGGAAATTTAAACATTTTCCAGATTTTCCCCTGATTTATTGCCAAATTCCAAACGTTTTTAGATGGCGATTTTAATACGAAATTAAGGATGGCTAGAACTCATTCGAATACTCTAATATATCAGTAATTATTTTTGCGTTGCTGAACTTAAAAATGAATGCTAGTTATTCTTTTCGACGATTGTCTAGACATACTTTAGCTCAGGAACATTTATTGAAGAAATTTTGAACAATGAAAAACTTGAAAAATAGTATGGAAATTATGCTCTATAACCTTTATTATTTTTCGTAAGATCTTTTGATCTGCGTAGTATATATATAAATACTAGCGAGAACCCATGCATAATGCACGCCAGGGTTTTTTTCCTTAATGTACGGCCTCAAAACATTAATCATTCACTCGGTACCAGACAACAAACACTCGATATTATGTACATAGAAGCTCTACGACGCGATATCATTATATCGCTAATAGCCCACGTAGCCTTACAGCCTTACCTCCTCGTAGCTTTATCCTTTATAGTCTGATCCATCTATAGCTTTCCGCCTTATAATCTTACTCCCTTATTGCCTTACTTCTTTATAACTTTACCCTCTTATAGCCATACTCTGTTATCGCCTTGCTTTCTTATAGCCTCACGCCTTATAGCATGACTCCCTTGTTTCCTACCCCTATAAAGCTTTACTCCCTTATAACCTTACTTGACATGTAACCTTGAACGTGGCACAGACAGACACTGAAAATTTTGTATATAGATGATTTGTTAGCGCATAGTTTTCATAAACAGAGTTTTAGGTTTCCTAAAAGAATCCGACACCAGCTGTTTTTTTCCTACCTTTTGTTGCATATGTGGGTGGTCATGCTCCATCGAACGATGACGAAAAAGAGAAAGCTAAAGGTTGATGAAATTGTATAGCTTGGGAACATAACAAATTATAAACTGCTTGAAACTCGAATATCTCGGCCTTTGTACGCTATTGGTACCTCATATTTTTAACTAGTCAGCTTGATAATGAGAGCATTCGTTTGACCAGACAAAGATCAATCTCCTTAGTTTACAATACATCATCTTTTACTCTAAGCTATATAATGTTTGTGTTGTCTTCGCTTACTACGAAATATCTTTGCAAATAAAGTATTACTCGATAAACAAAACATAAAAGCATTTTACGCAAGTAAGTCAATATGCTAGCCCTTGGTTTGCAAAAAGTTACTCTATCTGATTAGCTTCCGATTTCGGCAAGAACATACTGATTTTGAAAGAAGAGAACTTCTGAGTTTTTCATCTAGTGACTCTCGTGAAAATATGAAAACCGATTTTTTCCTTCATCTTTTCTTAATTATTCACAGAAAGAACAAGAAAAAAGTGCGTCCGGAAACTAGATGAAAGAGAAAAACTTAGTAACTAATTCAAAAAAAAATCTGAAAAAGTAAAATTCCAATGGCCAAATGCTCAAATCAAGTGGGCTATTATCCATTTTCCCCTCCCTTAGCTACGCCGCTGATAACCACCAGTACTGTGAGAAAAGTAAACATGTTGTTCAGTTTTGCTAAAGGAACGATTTGATACCACATATGGTTATTATTATGAAATGAACAATATTCTGTTTACTTTTACAACAGCATATAGTACAAGCAGCGTGCATTGACAATTGATACAATTGACCCTAGACTGACGGCATCCCGCTAAATTTATAAACAACTCTAAGTACATGTGTACTGTAAGGAAGGTAATAACGTACGATGTAAAAGTAATGGCCCAAAATGTTGATCAGTATTTCACTTCGATAGAAAGGCGCTGAAAGAAAGCTGCTCTTATCAAAAGATAGCGCTTTTTCTTCTCTTTCGAATGGAATATCATTTATTTTTATAATATATCTATAAATGAAACAACATAATAGAGAATAGAGACACCTGGAAAAAAATTCTGCATTTTTCGTGAAATTCAGTAAAACGAAACAAAATGTAGACTTCTATGTTTCTTGGATAACTCTTCGATAAACATGTGTCAAAAAGAAAGTTTTGGTACTAATTGATAGGAAATTTTTTCCTCTTTCGAACAGTGTATGATTCATATTTAACACATGTTCATAAATGAAATGTGACTAGAATGAAAGAGAAACATTGACGCAATCAATTCATGATTTTCAATAGGAAATCATCAACATTGACTTGATAGACAATGATCAATTCAATTTTTTATACTCTTTAAAAAGCTCCTCCAAAGCTTGATTACTTACACGTTTTCAAAGTTCTTAAAACCATCTTCCAGATGGCAGCTAATTATAATTAATTGTCATTTACAAGATAATTTTTTGACGAATTCATACAAAAATTGAAAATTCACCGAGCGAGTGTTTCTCTTTCTTTCTTTCTCATTCCATTTATAAAACATGTATTAAATATAACTCATGCACCATTCGAAAGAGAAGAAAATTTTCTATCAGTTGGTACCAAAGTTTTCTTTTCAGCACATATTGATCGAAGAGATGCAAGGATCGACATTTTTGCGCCACGTTTCTACAAAAAGTACAGCATTTTTTTAAGGGTGTCTCTCTTTTTTATTATGTTGTTTCATTTATAGACGTAGTATAAAAATAGATGATATACCATTCGAAAGAGGAGAAAAAGAGCTATCTTTTGGTAAGAAAAGCTTTCTTTCAGCGCCTTTCTATCAAAGTGAACTACTGATCAACACTTTGTGCCATTTCTTTTGCATCGCACGTTAGAAAATACGAGGAATGGCTTGGAATGTAACGGCGAGGCCTGTGGCAAAGTTAGTTTCTCAATAATGTAATATAATCATTTCTGGCATACAGATTGTCATTCATACCATAATCTTATCCCATCTGCCGATACATATAACTGTTCGTGTTATATATATGATCATGTGTGTTGTAGCCATGGTCGCCTATGCCACAGGAATGATCTTTTGTACCATAAGCATGCTCGTATGTGCCACAAAATTGGTTATTTGCGCCATAAGATTGGTCATTTGCGCAATAAAAATGGTCATTTGGACGATAGAGGCGGTAATCTGTGCCATCGAAATGGTAATCTCTGCCACATAAATGATCATTTCTGCTATCGAAATGCTCATTTCTAACACACAAATACTCATTTGTGCCACACATGGTCCGTTGTGCCACAAAAACGGCCAGTCGTGCTATAAAAATGATCATTTGGGCCATCGAAGTGGTCATCTCTGCTACAAAAACGGTCATTTCTCAAACAGAAATTATCCTTTGTGCTAAGATGATGGTCATTTGTGCCAAAAAAAGTCGCCATTTGGGCCATAGAAGTGATCTTTTGTGACACAAAAGGACGTGGGACGTTTTAGGTGCATTTCGACCCAATTAAAGAGTGAAGGTAGATTTACCTGAAAATTTCAGCTTGATCCGTTGAACTATTCCTTTACTTCGATCCATGAAGAACATAGACCCTAAATATACGTAAAAATGCCCTATTGGGGTAATTTTGTGGATCTTCGTTCTTCACTATACGATCCAGGCCCAGCATGATTTTTCTAGGGTCACTAACAATCAGTACGGACTACAATATTGTAAGGACATAAGGCCGAGAAAAAATCTGCCGTTGTATCACCATGAACTACATAGGATTTAAATTAGGAGTAAAAATCATCGTAGAGGAAACATTGGGTACCTTTGCCCTACAGTATTGGAGTCAGGATTGGAAATTTTTTTTAGGAGCTATAGGAATTCTTGGGACGTCGGAAACGGTAAATCATTAAGAGAAGTATGCAGATGACCACTGTGTAAAGCCGGATGTGGTAAATTATCACGAGAGTGTTCTAGCTTGTGTTATTGGTTGATTATGACTCATACAAATTTGTGCAGGACTTGAATAATTGGGTTGGCTGATGTGCCATGTAAGTTTTAATTTGACTATGCCAATAGACTTTGAAGAGCAACATTTTTTGTAAATGATGATCGTGTATGGGAAAAAACTGATGTTGACAGATATCTTCTTGAATCGATGATCACTTAGTTATAGTGGGGAAAGTGAAGCACTAATAGTCTTAGGGAAGCTGGTTTGTTTAGTGTGTACCAGAATAGAAGACGTTGAAGCGCGACACGGAAATATATGTTGTCTTGTAGCATATTTGTATGGATATCAGAAATTATTATAGAGTATTTTGAGATTCTGCTTGCCAGTGGGATGAGAAATTGAATCCGCCAATTGTTTAAAGTTTCATCAGAATAACTGAACAATTTAGGGGTTGGTATTAATCTAAATGATTGCTCGCGTGATATCCATAAGTAAACAATCATCATGTGTGAAATGTGGTATCGGAATTGGCGTAATAATACTGAATTCGCTCACATATTGAATCGTGTTGAAGAAGAATCAAATGGAATGATTGTCCACAGTGGCAATGAAGTAAGATTTACTTAGAGCATATGTATGACTGTTTACCCCATTATTTTTTTTTCAGAATGATGATGGGAATATTGAATCAATATCAGACACCCCATTGGATGTTCCAGTGAATATCAATATCGTCACTTTACCGTTGAATGTGGCCCTTTCATCTCATCAGCACATTTTAAAAGAAAATACATTATTAACGTTGATTATTTTCCTTTGTAGACAATGTTCAGTTTGTCGAAAATTTTTAAAGTCATCATTATGTACGATCTCTAACGAAGATCAAGAGCTTTTATGTATCAAAAGTAATATTTTTATACCACAAGGTAGTTGATGTTGTGAAGATCATGTTTATACAGAGCGTTTGCATATTGACGTTTTAAATGGAATTTGTCTGTTTAAAATTGCACAAACAAATTTCTCTTTCACCGATATCATTATATGATTTAGCAAATTTCGAGATTACTATAATTCCATTCGATACTTCGATTTTGATTGTTATAACTTCACCAGAATATCAAAATTCAACTTTGAACACTTGATCGAGTTGCTCACCGATTGCAAAATTAAACATTCATCGAATCGATCACTTCGAAATGCTGTTGGTTTGTTTTTAACAAAACTTAGATTACGTATCAGCAATAAAGTTCTCACCACCATTTTTCAATATTGAAATCCCAAGGCTTTTTCTCGAAATCTGGCTGCTGTACGTGAAGCTATGATATCCAATTTCGTGCCTTATTACCTTGTTTTTAATTGTATTTCTCGTCAGGATGTCATCTATAATCACTCTTCTGCACTTGGTACTCGATTATTAACGCACCAACCAGATACAGCTATACTCGTAATCAATGGTACCTACTTATATGTACAGGTTCGTAATATATTCAATATGTTATGACTTATATCTGAATAATTTAATTGGATAAATTCAAAGCAATTCTATTAGTTTTTGATCTGTATTTTCCCTCATTGTAAGCGAAATTTTAAAAAAATCTTCCTGTAACGTAAAGATTACATTAAAAGATCGATTTAGTTTTTTTATAATCTTTTGCATACCAATCAAATCAACAGTTGCAAGTTAAGCACACTATCCATTTAACTCGCTGGAAAGTATATGCCTCTCTAGAAAATAGAAAATGTATTAAGAGAGACAATAAGTGAATATTTTGCCAAAAGATAAGTCTCTTACCTTCATTTTGGTGTCAAACTTTTGAGTACTCAACCACAGTGGCATGAAAATCTCAGTTCCAAATGATTGATATCTTTTCTGAGTTTTTAGAAGAGTCGAAACAATGAATTGCAACGGCGAACATATAATATGCACAAGCGTCGATCTCTGGTGAAGCCGATGTTAATTGATACTACCACAGGTTATATCCTATCAGCTTATGGTCCTTACTTATCGGATTCGTCAAACAGCGATGTATCTATCCAGAAAGATATATTGATTAACAATAAAGATGGCATTTTAAATTGGATTGATGAACATGACATCGTAGTCGGCGATCGTGGTTTTCAAGATAGTACTGGAATGATGCGAGCCTTAGGGCTTGATGTATGCATGCCAGACTTTCTAAATGGTCGCCGTCGATTTGATGCACTTGAAGCCAATCGATCATGCTTTATCAGCAAGATTCGTTGGATTGTCGAAACGGCTAATGGTTGGATGAAGCATTTCAAATGGTTAAACCAGACAATTTAAAACTCAACAATTCCGCAAATACGTGATTATTTACAGATTGCTTGTGCTCTTATTAATGCTTATCGTGCTGCTGCTATATCTTCATTTTCAAATGATGATCAAATTGCTGCTAAGATGTTAGCGTGTCTTCATGAATCAAATTTACTTCGTACACGTCTTAACAATGAAATTCTACATTGGACGACCAATGATGCCTCAAACATTATCAATTTCCTTGTATTTACAATTGATCAAATTCTAGTAATCATCGTCGGTATGTAGTGATATTATATTTATTGTACACAGACTTAGATTGAATTAATTAGTCCAGAATTTAATAAGAAAAATGTTCGTTATGAAAAATATGGAATCTTTATTTAAAAAAAAAGAGAATATGATGTACTATTTATTTTTAGGGATCTAGATGAAGAAAATACCATCCTTGTTCTTTGAGAAAAATAGCTTTAGTAACTTAACTGATAACAGTTAACGTGTGCTAATATTTCTACACTACGTAATAAGCAGAAAACCTATCATTGAAAGGATTAAATTAAAAGTCATTTCTTTCCTATCAAATGTATCATTTATAAACGTTAGAAATTCGTAACTGTGAAAAGTCCTTTGAGAGAACATAAACACTTTTTAGCGAATGGGTCTTTTATTTGCAAAACTCAATCTTTTAAACATCTAATATTAATTTTACCATATAGTCGATCTTATCTATGCGCTCTAGTTCATTTCTGCAGGAGTATTTCAATTGAAACAAACACGCTCTTATACTGAAGAGCGTCGTTCAACTACCGATCTTAACGATCATGCTGCTTTTCCACTACAAATATGCAACACTGATACTCAACTTATTCGGATTCGATTTAAAGCTCGGCATAGAACCCAGAAGACATATTACACTTATGTGGAGTTTAATGAAGAACAAATCACAAACAGCTGCTGTGACTGTCCAGGTGGAGACCGAATAGTTGGCGTATATTCACATCGAGCAGCTGCAATTTGGTTTTTGGGTTATCAACGCCATTCTAATGATACATCCACGAATAGACCATCTGGTACATACTTGAAACATCTTGACGACAGGGATTAAGTTGACGATTTTGTTGAATCATCTGACGAGAATGAGGGTTCCCTTTACTCTATCTCGTGATGAACAAAATAAATAAATAATTTAATACCATGCCACATCACTCATCCACAATCAAGCTCATAACAGAGACCTACTCCATGACTTTACAGAATACTATATACTGAAACATTTCACTTCATAATCCATAAAACTACGGAAACAGAATATCCTATACAACCTTCATCACCAACCACGAACTCATCAGTAGTCATCAAGTCCAGCAATCATATTTCACATTATAGGAAATTTCACAAACTCAAAGCTTCAATCTTGCCCAGAAAGTAGTTGACATCATGATCTCTCAATACCCCCAAGTGAGCAAAAAATAACGAAAGACGGCGTCCATAACTAGTCCAAAATGTCCGCAACGCCCGTCAAGTCTAGTCTGAAACGTCTTGCACACCCGTCATGACTAGTCACCTTTTGGAGAAATGTCCTTCAAACACGTCTGGACTAGTCCAGAAAGTCCTTGAACCCAGTCATGTCTAGTCCATTTCGTCCTTTGAACCCGTCCAGACTAGTCCGAAGACTAAAAAAAAGAGGATGAAGATAGATTCGAGCATCCAACCCGACAGTATTCAAAACCGAACGGGCATCCTGATGGTAGACTAGGACACTGAGATAGACTGACGTCAATTTATACAGTCTAAGATACCAAATTGACTCTCGCCCATCCACTAGACAATCAGAAACCAGTCGATGTCACACGACTTTGACTAGTCTGAAACGTATTTTCATAGAGTCAAGACTAGTCCGAAGCGTCGTCTGCGCTCGTCATGACTAGTCCTTTTTTAAAGAGTATGTCACCCGTTCTAGTCAGACTAGTCTGAAAACTCTAAACAACCCACTTTTTTTGAATCAAATATATCTTGTTAATTCGTTTAAACTGATCAGTAATGAAAGTAAGAATGCAAGTAGAAAAACTTTTCAATATCTATATCGTTTGTTAAAAATAATCAATGGATAATATCAAATACATTTAATCTAGGAACTAGATAGTAGGATAACAATCGTTTTATTGCCTGTCTTGTATTCAAATCTTTCTGGATTAAGGATCAAAATTGATCTATTATATTATGATTACGGTAATTAATAAGACGCATTTTTTCATATTAAAACTATATCGCTCGCCAAGATATTATAAATATTTCTCTAGGTAGAATGACAATCAGAGAGTCTGCTATAATCAACAACGAGGTCAAGAATAGATAATACGCTCTGTGCATTCCTGTCTTCATATATCTTATTATATTTTGTATTTTCATATGTTGAAAATGTAAGAGTATATCAAAACTAACAAAAAAGTAGGAGTAAATATAATGAACTATATTCATCTCGTAGCGAGGAATATTAATTTATATTTTTTAATATTATTAGATGTACTATGTTTAAAAAAAACTGAAGAATAATTTAAATTTTTTTATGCCATAATTTTATGTTATCTTATTTTAAATATAAATTCTAATAATTTTAAATTTAAGAATATATTTAAATTAAGCAAAGTTAATTTAATTGTTAGTTGAAGATATGGTAATTTTAATTTAAAACTAAGCCATCATACGAAGAAATCTGGTTTCTTTTGAATATAAATAGCCTTTTTATTTTTACGTTTAAAATTTATTTTTTTTAACGCAACTAATTATTTCTCCTTAATGATAATCGAAAGATATTTTTCCAAAAAATATAGAAACTTTTTGGATTATTTGTTTAATGTTGTCCAAATAATGTCATATTCTGTAAAAAATAATTTTTACTTAAATGTGAACATAAAAAACTTTAAGTAAAATTGTATTAAATAGCACCTTAGAATGATTATGACTATGTAAAAGCTAATTTCTTGATCATATGGCTCAATGGTCTAAGCAATGGGTTAGTAATACATTGTACGCATGTTCGAATCTAATCTTCATCCTTACATATTTTCATTTAGACTAGTCCGAACTCGTCCACTACACACAAGACTGCAACTTGTCCTATGTACCGTCCCTGACGTCCTTACTTTTTCAATTTTAAACTCATTTTGGACGGGCGTCGCTGTCGCCCGTCTTGACTAGTCTTTGTCTCAAAAAGTCCTCGTCCAAGACTAATCTGCATTTCAAACAATAATGTTTCCCATAAACCGACTTCAGACTAGTCCTGGACGAGTCTTTCTCAAAAAAAGACTAGACTAGGCACGTATAATGTCGCCCGTCAATCACGTGATTTAGACGGCCTTCATGACGGCTAAAAATCCCGGACTAGTCATGTGCCCGTCGAATTTGAGACAAAGACTAAGCATGACGGGTCGACATGACTAGAAAAAAGACTAGTCATTTACCCCGTCTTTTGCTCACTTGGGCCATTTATTATTTTATAGCTCGAACCAGTATTCAAGCCCCTCCTATGCAACGAAAACTGAATAATTTTCTTATGTGTTCCGGTTTCTACAATTTCCTACCTGCTCTCCATTACTGTTCATACTGAAATGAATTACGCGTCTGAATCAAATACTAGAGAACAAAGGTTCACAGGATTATCTCTATAGGGCTTTTCTCAAGATTTTGGGGACTATGTACTTCATAGTGATACCACGACAGATTTTTTCTCGGCTTTATATCCTTGCAATATTGTAGCCCATACTGATTGTTAGTGATCCTAGAAAAATCATGCTGGGTCTGAATCGAATAGTGAAGAATGAAGGTCCACAAAATTACCCCAATAGGGCATTCTTACGTATATTTAGGGTCTATGTTCTTCATGGATCGAAGTAAAGGAATAGTTCAACGGATCAAGCTGAAATTTTCAGCAATGGCTACTAACATATAGTCGAGCATTTGCTGAAAGCTTCAGGTAAATCTACCTTCACTCTTTAATTGGATCGAAATGCACCTAAAATGTCCCCCGTCCTTTAACATTTTTGGCACCGAAATGTTCATTTGTCCCATAGAAATGGTCCTTTGTGACATATGAATAGTGATTTATATCATAAAAATGGTCATTGGGACCATAGATGCGGTAATCTGTGCCACAGAAGTGGTCTTTTATACCATAATAATGGTTACTTGTTGTGCCAAGAGATGCACCTATTTAATATACTATCACGTGTATTTCATTTTATCCTTTCGTTATATCACTTGTTATGCTTACACTACACCACTCTAATTTCATATCATCCTTATGACATATCACTTGTCGTCCTTGCGTATATCACTCTTGTATATTACTGCTGTACAATATCATCCTCATACACACACATAATAGTGCTCGTAATGATCAATACTGGTTCAATACTATTATAATTGTTACGTGATACACTGTTCTTTGCCAACGCTTGTGCAATCGCTGTATTACATCCTGTATATATTCACATTATTCTCTTTGGACGAGAAGGTTAATGTGAAGAAGAAAAGAGAACAGTGGTGAATATATTCAGTTGATGATAGTGAGCGGTGAGAGTAAGATTGGACAACGATATACACGTGTGGGAGTGATACACATAGCGGTGTATAACTTAATATGTAAAAGAAGAATAGTATTGTTGAAATAAAAGAGCAAGTGATAGCGACAAGTAACGGAAGTGTGCAGAAATCAACAGAAACAAACACAAAGCCAAGAACTTAGTGATTTCTATTATCATTTTTCATTACAGCGATATGTTGTTTCGCACGAAGCATACGAAATCTACTAGTACCTAAAGTAACCATACCAGGTTCCATGAAAAACTGCAAAACCGTACAATAGTCTACGAAACTATCGATCGTTCCATGTAAGATATGTGGAATCCTCTGATGTTTTACAAAGCCATTGGTCGTTCTGTGACAAATATATAGAACCTTTCAATACTCTACGAAACTATTGATTATTCAGTATAAAATATAGGAAACCAATAGTTGATCTATGAAACTATCAATCGTTTCGTGTCCAATTTACGAAACTCGCAAAGAGTTTGGTTGACGAATTCTGAAATCCTCTGAAATCTGTGGAACTTATAAAAGTTTTGAACATAAACCCCAAAACGATTTTCATTACGTGGAACTTAAAATGGTTCGGCACATGAATGCGGGACTTTTAAAGTTCAGTAATAAATTTATTTTTTTAAAATGTAGGCTAAAAGTGCAAATCGAGTATAATGGGAGAACTCATTTTTCTTCTTTGTCTATTGGTA